GCTGAATAATATTCCATTGTAGGTATATGCTACATTTTGTTTATTCATCTATCAATAGACATTTGGGTGGTTTCTACCTTTAGACTACTGTGAATATGTTGCTATGAACATGAGTGTTCAAATATCTGTTGGAGTTCTTTGTTTTTTTTTTTTTTTTTTTTGAGAGAGTCTCACTTTTGTTGCCCAGGCTGGAGTGAAGTGGCACAATTACAGCTCACTGCAGACTTCCTGGGCTCAGGTGATTCTCTCACTTCAGCCTCTTGAGTATCTGGGACTATGGGCACGTGCCACCACGCCAGGCTAATTTTTTTTTTTTTTTGGATTTTTAGAAGAGATGGGATTTCACCATGTTGCCCAGGTTGGTCTCAAATACTACCCTCAAGCAATCCACTCATCTTGGCCTCCCAAAGTGCTCGGATTACAGGCGTGAGACACTACGCCTGGCCCCTTCTTTCAGTTCTTTTGGATATATACCCAGAGTTAAATTGCTTGATCATTTGTTATTCTGTTTAATTTTTCAAGAAACTGTCATCAGATTTTCAACAGCCACAACACCTTTTACATTCCCACCAACAATGCATAAGGTTTCCAATTTCTCCACAGTTAAGCCAACATGTTTTCTTTTTATTTTTTTGATACTAGTTATTTTAATGGGTATCAAGTGGCATCTCATTGTGGTTTTAATTGCATTTCCCTAATTACTGTTTTTGTTTTTTTTTTAAATAGACACAGGGGCCGGGCACGGTGGCTCAAGCCTGTAATCCCAGCACTTTGGGAGGCCGAGGCAGGTGGATCACGAGGTTGAGAGATCGAGACCATCCTGGTCAACATGGTGAAACCCCGTCTCTACTAAAAATCTAAAAAATTAGCTGGGCATGGTGGCGCGTGCCTGTAATCCCAGCTACTCAGGAGGCTGAGGCAGGAGAATTGCCTGAACCCAGGAGGCGGAGGTTCCGGTGAGCCAAGATCGCGCCATTGCACTCCAGCCTGGGTAACAAGAGCGATACTCTGTCTCAAAAAAAAAAAAAAAAAAGAGATAAAACTGTTATGAAGTAAACAGTGTTTTAAGCCGGGCGCGGTGGCTCAAGCCTGTAATCCCAGCACTTTGGGAGGCCGAGGCGGGTGGATCACGAGGTCAAGAGATCGAGACCATCCTGGTCAACATGGTGAAACCCCGTCTCTACTAAAAATACAAAAAATTAGCTGGGCATGGTGGCGCGTGCCTGTAATTCTAGCTACTCAGGAGGCTGAGGCAGGAGAATTGCCTGAACCCAGGAGGCGGAGGTTGCGGTGAGCCGAGATCGCGCCATTGCACTCCAGCCTGGGTAACAAGAGCGAAACTCCGTCTCAAAAAATAAATAAATAAAATAAATAAATAAATAAATAAATAGACACAGGGTTTCACCATGTTGCCCAGGCTGGTCTCAAACCTTTGAGTTCACAGATCTACCTGCTTTGGCCTCCCAATGTGCTAGGATTACAGGCGTGAGCCACTGCACCTGGCCCTGAGTACTCATTATGGTGAGCATGTTTTCATGTGTGTATTGGCCATTTGCACATCTTCTCTGGAGCACTATTTGCTCAAGATCTTTGACCAATTTTGAATTGGGTTGTTTAGTTTTTTTATTACTGACTTGAAGACGTTCTCTATATATTCTGGGTATTAATCATTTATCAGATACGTAATTTGCAAATATTTTCTTCCATTCTGTGGGCTGCCTTTAATTTTGATGAAGTGCAATTTATCTATTTTTCCTTTCACTGCCTGTGCCTTCAGTGTCATATGTATGAAATCACAGCCAAATCCATTGTCACGAAGCTTTTCCTTTATGCTATGTTTACTTCTAAGAGTTTTATACTTTTAGCTTTTATATCTTAGTCTTTGATTCATCTTGAATTAATTTTGTTTATGCTGTTGGGTAAGGGTCCAACTTCCTTCTTTTACAGGAATATATCCAACTTTTCCAGCATCATTTGTTGCAAAGACTGTCTTTTTTTCTACTGACTAGTCTTCACACCTTATCGAAAATCATTTGATCATATATGCAAGGGCTAATTTCTAGGCTTTCTAGGCCATTGGTCTGTATGTCTGTCTTTATGCCAATATCACACAATTTTGACAGTTAAGCCAACATGTTTTCTTTTTACTTTTTTGATACTAGTTATTTTAATGGGTATCAAGTGGCATCTCATTGTGGTTTTAATTGCATTTCCCTAATTATTGTTTTTTTTTTTTTTTTAAATAGAGACAGGGTTTCACCATGTTGCCCAGGCTGGTCTCAAACCTTTGAGCTCATAGATCCACCTGCTTTGGCCTCCCAGTGTGCTAGGATTACAGGCGTGAGCCACTGCACCTGGCCCTGAGAATTCATTATGTTGAGCATATTTTCATGTGTGTATTGGCCATTTGCACATCTTCTTTGGAACACTATCTGCTCAAGTATACTTTGAAATGAGGAAATGTGAGTCCTCTGACTTTGTTCTACCCAACTGGTTTTTTTTGAAAATTTTGTTTTCATGCTGACAACATCCCATACTTAACTGTTTTTTAAGCAAATTTCCCTCTTACATTTTCTAATAATGTGTACCAAATTAAATATACCTAACCTCTGTTAGAAGAATTCTCCTGGATTCTGGAGTTAGAAAAGAAGCCTTAAGAGTGTTTTATGCCAGATGCAGTGGCTCATGCCTGTAATCCCAGCACTTTGGGAGGTCAAGGTGCATGGATCACAAGGTCAGGAGTTTAAGGCCAGTCTGGCCCAGATGGTGAAACCCCATCTCTACTAAAATTACAAAAATTAGTTGGGTGTGGTAGCAGGCGCCTGTAATCCCAGCTACTGAGGAGGCTCAGGCAGGGAATTTCTTGACTCTCCCAGGAGGTGGAGGTTGCAGTGAGTCGCGATTGTGCCACTGCACTCCAGCCTGGGCAACAGAGCAAGACTCCATCTCAAAAAAAAAACAAAAAAAAAAAAACGTGTTTTAATATTGAGATACATGGTCCTTCCTATCAATATCTTAAATCAGGGATTGAATACTTGATACAGTTTGGAAATTTGTCCCTACCCAAATCTCCTGTTGACATATAATCCCCAACGGTGGAGGTAAGGTCTGCTGGGAGGTCTTTGGATCATGGAGGTGGATCCCTCATGGCTTGGTGCTGTCTTTACGACAGTGAGGGAGTGCTTGTGATATCTGGTCATTTAAAAATGTGTGGCCCTCTCCCTCAACTCTCTCTCTCTCGCTCCTGCTTTTGCCATTTGAACTGCCTGATCCCACTTTGCCTTCTGCCATGATTGTAAGTTTCCTGAGACCTCCCAGAAGCCGAGGAGAGACTGGCACCATCCTTCCTGTACAGCCTGCAGAACTGTGAACCATTTAAATCTTTTTTCTTTATAAATTACCCAGTCTCAGGTATTTATTTATAGCAGTACAAGAACTGCCTAATGCTTGAATGCTTAAAGGGGCCAGGCAGGATATGTAAGTGACTGGAATGTCGGAGTTTTAGAAAAAGGAATAATGGGGAATGTGAGGAGCCAGGATGACATGCTCTATCTGTGTTCAAAAATGAAAATGCATTCTGAAGGCCAAACAAAGTGGTGTGCAGATAATATGACCGACAGGCTCCCTGTTGTCAAACTGTTCACAAGTTTTACTGTAGAGTCTAAATGTGATAAATAAAATATTTTATAAGGGACAAATTTTAAGTTATATATTCTAAACAGCTTCTATAGCTTAGTTTGTGTATGTTTGTGGTGTGTGTGTGTATTTTGTGTGTGTGTGTGTGTGTGTGTGTGTGCATCAGTGTATATTAGGATATATGACATATGACTTGCGATATCCATCCTACTCACTAGGGCAGTAGAAGACCACGGTAAAGAAAAAAAAAATCTGGAGTCAAGTTGCTGGGTTTAAATCCCAGAGTCATCATGGGCTACCTTTGTGACTCTGGGCAAAGTACTAAACTCTCTAAGCCTCAGTTTCTCCTTCTGTATAATGGAAATCATAATAGTACCTATCTCATCATGGATCAAATGAAACAGCAGGAGAAAATGCTTAGTACTCGTAGCACCTGGTATTTAATAAGTCAGTGTTCAGTAAAAAAATAAAGATTTTAGGAGGCATACAATCAAATAAGAAAAGATAAAATAAACATCGGTAAGAATCCAAATAAAAGGAAAAGGAGTAGAAATAATAATAGAGTTAAAGGTAAGAAAAATAATAAAGAGTCACATCCAAATAAAAGAGAAAGGAGAAGAAAAACAATAAAGAGTCAAAGGTAACATCAGAATATCATCATATATTTGCTATCCAATCGGCTTAGTTCCTTATAGCTAAAACAAAGCAAAGCAAAACAAAAAAAAAGTGAATGGTTCCTAGAAGCACCACCATGTCATCCCAGTTATTTTTTATTTGCCATGTCGTTACGAGTTTAACAACTACAACTTGCTTTTCATATTAACCAGAATTATGGCTACAGAGAGAAGAAATACAAACTAGCATATTTATTTTTCTACAAATTACTTTGGTATGTGGTAGTCTATGCATAGTGAGATAAGAAATAAATGGTGAATCCCAAGTTTAAAAAATGATTTCTAGTAGCTGCAAATTTCAACTAAAAATATAGTCACTGTAGTTATGCAATGATACTTGTGTCACAGTCTATTAAAGTTAAAAAACTTTAAACCAATTAATTTAGCCCCCAAAATCTGAAATCCATTTGAAAAATAACTCAATTAACATACTTTGTATAACTCTTTAGATAAAACACAAATTGATCTCGGTAATTTGACAGATTTTATGGCAGAAGGCACCAGCAGGAGGACATTTAACTATTTTTTTAATCTTGAAGCTGAATCTTAATTTGTTGAAAGACCTATGAGAAGAGGGGAGGAGGGCTAATAAAAGTGATGAGAACAAAATGTCCCAGGAGAGGTTGCCAGTGCATATTCCTGGCGCAATCCCATTCATCTTTTCATGACTATCGAAGTAAGTCATCTTACCGGTTTTACATTCCATGCAGATGAACCTGCTATCAGGGAGTGATGTCAGTCCCAGGCACTCCAGGTGAAAGTGTCTGCAACACTCTCCCTCACAAGCAATCAGAGAGTCACCAGAGCTTTCACAAATCTGTAATATGGCAAAAAGCAGTGGTTCAAACTTTTGGCAAACATCAGGACCACATGGGGGGCTTGTTACAACACAAATTACTGGGTCCCTCACCCACAGATTGTGATTCAGTAGTTCTGGTGGGGGCCCCTGTATCCAGAAGATGCTGATGTTGTTTGTCTTTGGCCTTCACTTTGGGAACCAGAGAACTAGATAATTACAGTATTTCCAGATCCAATATGGTATAAAGTTTAAAGTCATACTTGATCTTTTATGATTCCTTCTTTGGGATCTGCATATGTAACTTTTCTTCACAGGGCAAAGCAGTATTTTTCAAGAACAGTAAAAATACAGTGAGAGAGTTATTACTTCAAAATTTTGAATTTAAGAAAGTTTTTCCAATCAGTCATCTGCCATTTACTTCTAATTAATAATAATACATTACACTAGAGATTGGCATGTGGGTAAGTATTCCAACTCAGAAAGGGAAGAAAAGAACCAGAAAGAGAGGTTTTAGATCTGTAGCTTTAAAGTAATATCACAATAATTTAGAACCATATTACCCTCTTCAACAGGAGTTAAGTCTATTATTGGCAGAATATAATAGCAATTGTTTCAAGCCATCACACCAGTTACCTGCCTACCTGACATACAGTGTCCTTCTTACTCATTCCAGTGCCTCTTCTTGACAAACTTGAATCCATGGACTGCACATCAGAAATGTCTGCATCTGCAGTAGCTGAAGGGCTATCTACTTGTTTTCCAAAGCCTACCTACATAGAAAACATAGTATTTTTAAGAAAAACAGAACAAAACGTCCCCCAAAGTTAGATGCTATGAAAATCCTAGTAAGACTTGCTCAAACATTAGATCTTGACACAACAACTTCTTTTTTCCTTCCTTTCTTTCCAAAATCCACAGATATCATAGGTCTGCTGTTTTGGGAAAAACGGTAGTTAAAATTACAAACAAACTATAGTTTTGTTATATAACATGAGTGCAAAAAAAATTAAGATGCTCCTAAGTTACAAAATAACCAAAGTGATTTTTTTTCTATGAGTATTTAAAAATTTTTCCCAATTTTCCCAAATAAATTAGGAAAAAGCATTATGTTCAAGAAAGAGCACTTCGTCCAGACCCTTGCACATATTTACCTGCAGGTCACTCAGTCCTCTAGAATCGGAGTCAGATGTGTCTCTGTATGCTGAACTAGTCATTTCTACGTCAGTTGAGGCGCGACTCCTTTTCTTTAGAGGTTTACAGGAATCTGAAATCTCGCTGGCACCTTAATACAACACACTGAAATTAATCCTAAAATAGTATGTAAGGTTTAATTTTTTTGTGTGTGGGAGAATACTTTCTTTTCCCAAACTCATCTTTAGTGTGGAAAAAGCACAGCTGTCTTTGTTAACAATGAAATAATGAGTCAAAATTTCAGAACTCTGACCTTCCTGGTAGTGATTGATTTAATTTACAACCACTCTATCAAAACATTTAACTCAGTTCTCCTCCTCTAAAGCTATTTTTCAGTCAACAGAGCCCACGTTCCAACCTAAAAATCAATCCTATCAAAATTGCAGGATAGCTGATGGATCTGGAGCAATTCAAAGAACCATTCAATTTGGAGGGGGAAGACATAAAACCCAACATACTGTGTAGCTTACAAATATGGTCGCAGAGACATCTCCATCTTGTTTTTATTAGGGATGTGACAAATCTTTGATTTGTATTCGATTCGTACACGGATAGTGCCATTTTCCCCCGAATTTTGCAATTCAGTTGATTATTGCCCCCCAATAAAATTTGGATGTTCATAATTGTTCATCTGAGACTTCCTTGGTGAAGTGGCATTTATTGTGACCATTAACAAGCGCTGCAGCACATCTACATATGTCATGCCATTCAGGAGGCATACTGCTGAGGGTTGTAAATGGACAATCAGTGTTCAAGTGCAGCCAAATCACGTAGAGCTGGATGGGAGGCCTCTATGTGGCATTTGTGCGGGAAGAAATAAATAGGAAAAAAAAAGGCAGAGAATAGTGTGGAATTTTTTTTTAAAACTGTGTGTAATACAAATCCAGCCAAAACAATAGTGCAAAAAGTTACAAAGCAACAATCTCTTGGGCTAATGCAGTATAGGCTATACAGAAACAGCCACGATGAAATGTGCAGATCAGGCACGGTGAATACCAAGGAACCAAGGAGACGGTTAATATTTCAACCCACAGTTTGTGTTTTGGATTTTTTTCCCCCAAAATTTCCATACAACAAACAGACATCTAGATCAGCCCAGCAAGCTATGATGGAAGTGTGCAGTCCAGAAGAGCCCATGGAGAAACAAGTCTCCTGAGGCCATGAAGATCCGCAACAGGCTGAGTGAGAGTAGCACTTGGAACATAGCCACGTTCTGAGGTGGAGGAGGTGGGCCTCGTTAGACTGCTCAGATTACTGGAACCTCGTTATCACATCCCAGTCTACAAGTTTTTCACTGAATGTTTCCTGACATCTATAAATGAGGGTGCCTGCCCATGTTAATGCTGATTAAAAAACACAAGTACACAAATCTATCTCCTTCATTGCTGGTGTATGGACCCAGAACACCACCATAAAATATTTCCTTGGCCTAAAAGATCACTGGATTAACAAGGAGTTTTAACAGAGGAACAGGAGTGCTGTACTGAGAGGCTTTCGAAGGGAAACACAGGTACCGCCATTTCCGATGAGTTTCTGAAAATGCTAGAAAAATGACAGACTGCCAAAGACAGCTGTCATGCTGTTCTCCATGATAACGGCACTAATATTAAAAAAAATAAGAACTTTTAATGATTGTAATGTATACAGTTTGGGCTCTCTGGCAAAACCCTGCAGATGTGCATTAATGATGCTTTATTTAAAAACAAAAAACCAAAAACAGTCCATGTTGAAATTGATCAGTGTAAGTTAAATGGTGGTTTTTAGGCTGGACCCATGATTTAAGCTGTACCCATCCAGCTCAAACCGAAAAAAAAAATCATTTGAATGTTAAAGCAATTGTTCAGAGTCTTGAAGAAGAAACCAGGCAGGAAAATGCCAATAATGATGATTGGCAAAATCAAAATCGAAAACAAAGAAACTGTTTATCAAGCCGCCGACAAAGAAATCTTGCATGGAGACTACAAGTCTGGAGTTTCTGGGATGAAATTGTACAGGAATCTCAGTCCACAGTTTCCTCAATCGCTGCGGAGACGGAGCTGTCACTGAATCTGACAGAGCCCTGCACTCCCCGGTCCGCCGACCCTGTGGAATGGTGGAAACACAACGCAATCAGGCCTCCTAATCTCGCAGCGATCGCGATGTCTTTTCTTGGAGCTCCGCCAAGCAGTGTTCCCTCCGAGAGGCTGTTCAGTTCTGCTGAGGATCTCCACGGAGACCATCGCTGCAGACTTCTCCCCGAGAATGCAGAGAGGCTGTTGTTTTATTTTATTTTATTTTAAAATAATGCAATTTGCCCAGAGTAAACTACAGGTATTAAATACAGTTTGATCTCACCAAAAACGCACGAATCATGCTATGGAGTTTGTACTGTAGTCAAATTGCACACAGAAAATACAGATATAAGTTTAAGCTTTTTAAAACTTTGTGCATATCTCAAATAGATTCGCATAAGGTCATCTAATAGTGGCCATAAATATGCTATGAATCATTTTAGTTTACAAAAAGATTTTACAGCACTGTAAAAATAAATGTGGCAAGATTTTTTCAATCAGGTTGTCTTGTCTGATTTGTCCATGTTTGACAAACATGAATAGCTACTATTCGGTATTCAGTCGAATACCAAAAAAAGTGGATTCGTCACATCCCTAGTTTATAAGCCAGTGAAACCCCAGAATCTTATGGAGAAAAGTTGGAAACAGTATCAAGTCTACGTGGTGTTCTCCAATTTACCAAAACAAGTAAGACTTTCCCTTGGAGGTACAGAATAAGATCAACTCTAAAAGTCACACACACACACACACACACAAACACCGGGGAATACTGCAATTTCACACTGAAGAGCAACAACAATGATTTACAGAGACAGACAAAAATACATGAAGTACAAATAAGTAATTCTTAAAAATTGGTTTTAATCAAGGAAATGCAAAGCAACATTATAATGTTAACTCACCTTTCTGTAATCCAGTCTTCACCGTAGCCTGAGGAACTGTTTCTACCTGTTTGGACAGAAAAACACAGGATTAACAGGGAATTTTTTCCCCTTTTAATTATTAACAGAGGGAAAAGATACTTTCATCAATCTAAGTAGTGATGAGTGATTAATGTATCTGAAATCTGAACTCAGTCCCATCTTCTGGGTAAAGTTCTCTGTCTCAAAATCAGGGAGGGTTTAAATCCTAGCTGCCTGTGCTGAATACCAAGTGACAACACACAGCCACATGCTCTCTAGCAAAGACTTTTCCCACCATTCCCTTGGTATATGAAGAGAACAGGAACACTTTCCTCAGTGTCTGGAAGGCAGGAGAGGGGTTGTTTCTACAACCAGCCCCAATGTTGCTATAAACCCCTCCCTCCCCAAAGACGTTAGGATAAATTTTTACTTACTATGATACTCAGGTTAATGTAACTCACGCCACTTTAAGACCCCTTCCGCGCCTGCACTCACAGCTAAGTTGCTGGGAATCAGGACCCTCTCTGTAGAGAGTGCTACAGGGCTCCATACAGCTGGAAGCTCAATACTTTTGCTGCTAGTACAAACTTAAGAAAATAAGTTTGTGATATTGCAAAAGCACTTTCTTGAGTGTCTTATGAACAGTGTCTTGATCCTACATCAGGAGAGCGAGATCAGAAGTTATTCTGCCAATGTATATGTAAAACACGTGGTAATTTGAGGATTGAACCATTGGAATTAGAGAAAGGATGCTGTTTGGAGGAGTTCCTGTTTAAGCTATGAACTGAGTTTCATGTTTCTTTAAGATGTGGTGAAATATGAATGTTGAAACACATTTTGTAAATATTTAAGGATTGTTCTAAGCTTTTTTAAAAAAATTTTATTTTTTTTTTACAACAGGTAAAAAAACATACAACAGAAATGCTTTTATAAGATACAATTAGTAATACAAATATAAAATCTTCTAAACAATCACTGGCATTGTCCTATTTCTAACTATAACACAGTGGCATTAACAATTTGTCCTGCTTTTTGTATTCATTCTGCGTATTAGTTTAAAACTGACTGGTCACAGACTTAATTTGGGAACCAGCTGGCAAAATCACAACTTTATTTTGGTAATGAATACTATAGTTCTTCAAGAGCTTAGAAAGATTTTTTGGAATATAATTTCCTAAGTATGAAATATGAAAGTTAATATGATAAATGAATGACAAACTAGTATACTATTTAAGTTTTAGTTAAATATTCTGGAAAAACTGTTTCACTTGCTTGGTGATACCACAGAGCACCTACAAGGTTAGCTTTTAAATTTGGAAGTTTAAAATGATGAAGGACATATTTTAAATAGAAAAGCCCACACTCTTTCATATTAAAAGGTTTAAAAAATATAAAACTTATTGAAACTAATTTTATTCAAAATTTGTTTTCTTTACTAGCAGGTGTTTAGGCTGTAAGAATGGATACTCTCACTAAAAAGTTTTTTAAATATCTGATTGTGAGTTTAATTTAAAAAAGAATGGTTTCTAAAATTTTCTTTGAAAAGGTCATTTAAATGTATCTTACTATATTGATTACACTGGTTTAATATACTTCAGTCAAAATGCAACCCCCCTCGCCTTTTTTTAACTAAGTATTATTTATCTGACAACCTGATACCAGGTGAATATTCCACTGGGAAAATAACATTCCAAAAAATCTGCGATATAAACAGAAAAACCAGATCATCTATGATTATCTGCTTCTTAAATATAAGAATATAAATTAATTGATTTGTTTAAAAAATAAAAAAAATACATACCAGCAGCTTAAATCAAAAATCAAAATTAAAAAAAAAAAAAAAGGGAACTCAATGATGGTTCCAAATAAAAATTATAAAAACATGATATCATTTTGCTGACAACCAAAACTTCTAAATAAATGTGAAGGATTTTTTAAGAGTCTTGCACCATTGGCTTCCCATCTCCTGAAGCCTATTTTCTGTGAAAATGCTTGAAGCAGAATCACAGGAATGGCTGTATTAAAATTGAGCACTGGAACCCACCAGGACAGAAGTGTAAGATAGTCCAGAAAGGAAACCCAGTGTGGGGGAAAGTTTCTTTCTTTTAAGATAGGAATGTAAGCCACAACATTTACAAATACAATGTTTTAACTCTCTACATGTAGGAAGCCAACCTGCTCCTTTTTGATCTTCTTCTTTGGCACGACCTCAGTGGATTTCTCTGATTCAGAACGAGTTCTAATTGATCTTCTCTGCTGCTTCTTTTCTACTGAGCCTAAGAAATGATTTAAACACACAAACAAAAACTCATTTAAGGATATCTTGACATCTATGTAATTAAGATATGACCAAATTCCTTGCTTTTCTTATCCATTTAGAATTTTAATTAAAATCATTAAAAGCTGCTAAATACTCAGGAGCATATAAATTATTTAACAGAACAAATTGTAAAGGCTGATGAGCTCAGACTGGGATTCACAAAGGTTCTTAAATTATACAAATAAACAGGGATTGGTTTTTTAAAAATTAAAAAGTCAAACTAGGGCCGGGTGCGGTGGCTCAAGCCTGTAATCCCAGCACTTTGGGAGGCCGAGGCGGGTGGATCACAAGGTCGAGAGATCGAGACCATCCTGGTCAACATGGTGAAACCCCGTCTCGACTAAAAATACAAAAAATTAGCTGGGCATGGTGGCGCGTGCCTGTAATCCCAGCTACTCAGGAGGCTGAGGCAGGAGAATTGCCTGAACCCAGGAGGCGGAGGTTGTGGTGAGCCAAGATCATGCCATTGCACTCCAGCCTGGGTAACAAGAGCAAAACTCCGTCTCAAAAAAAAAAAAAAAAAAAAAAGTCAAACTAAAACAGCAGAGACATAGTTCAGTTTTAAAGGCACATAAACCTCTTTAGGTAACTATAATTCACGGAATGAAGGGACTGAAGGGGTGCATAAAAATGTCTTTATTACCCACTTGATGTTAGGAATTACTGGTTCAAAAAATCATTTTTCATTTTAACAAATGAGTTTAATTAATTCTATACGTAAAATAGTTAAGAAGGCTTGTTGCACCTATATAAATTTTGCTATTGTTATTAACAACAAAAGCTGGAAAAGCACAAAAATGTGAACCTAATCATTAATTTGACTATTAAGGGATGTTATACTTTGGAAATAATTAGTTGTGGAAAACAAGTTGAAACAAATTATCAGGCTTTTTCATGTTAAATGGTAAAACAAACTATTAAGATTTTTAAAGAATACAATTCTTTAAAAGCAAATTGAAGAAAACTCACATAGACCCCCATTTTTGGAAAGGATAAAACTGAAATTGAAGAACACAACTTGAAAGAAACTAAGGAATGATTTCATTCCGTGAGCCTGAGGAGGAATGATACCTGCAGCGCAGCTGTTCTCCGTTTTCAGTGCTTGGACACCTACATGTTCCTTCCTAACTCATAATCACCTTTCACTTGCCATAGGAAGAAGCCACTAAGACCTATAAAATCAGACAGAAGCTATATCTATCTATAAAGCCTTTCATCTAACCTTTCATTGCTCTTGGATATGTATAAATGACTTCCCTTCACTTTAGTTCAAATCCAGAATGAAGGATCCCACTACTTTGTTTTGTTTTTGGGAAGGAGTGGGTAGTCTGATGATAATATATTGTTTTGGAGCTGTGGTTAATCAATTTATAGTAATCACAAATAAAAGTATTGGCTCTTTATTTATTTTTTTTTTTTGAGACGAAGTTTCACTCTTTTGCCCAGGCTGGAGTGTAGTGGCACAATCTCAGCTCACTGCAATCTCTGCTTCCTGGGTTTAAGTGATTCCCAGGCTTCAGCCTCCTGAGTAGCCGGGACTACAGGTTCAAGTGATTTTCATGCCTCAGCCTCCCGAGTAGCTAGGACTAGAAGTGCGTATCACCACACCCTGCTAATTTTTTGTAATTTTAGTAAAGATGGGGTTTCACTATGTTAGCCAAGCTGGTCTTGATCTCCTGACCTTGTGATCTGCCTGCCTCAGCCTCCCAAAGTCCTGGGATTACAGGCGTGAGCCACCACACCCAGCCTGCTCCCTTTTTTTAACTGTCTTCGCCTTACACTGACAAAAATGTTTCCTAAGACAACAGATATGCTACCCTCCCAGACCGACCTGAGAATCCCAGGGATCTATACTTAAGTGTAAGTGTCAACATTCAAGTTCTACTCTAGGGAGGGCAAAAATGAAAATGGAATTACTTAAAAACAAACAAAAAAATATTTAGTTGTGTTGAGGGTAATATAATCACACCGTGAAGAACAGATAAGATTTGATTTACTGTCTTACAGAGGATAAAGCAACATGATTTTTAAAAATTATTCTCAAAATTACCCAAACAACACGTACATTTAAAACCACTGAAGAGTATTATGTTCATGTTCTAAGAAAGAGGAGGTGAGCATTTCTGGGTTTGGAAAACAGCTTTGAAAACTAGTGTGAATACAAGTACAATTCTTCAAATGACAAAAATGTGACAGTGCCACACATTTTATGTATCCCTGAAATTTACTAAGAAAAGGCTCAAGAATGTCCTCAAGCAGTTAACACCAGCTGAGATGATGTAATTGGTTTCTCAAGGATGAACAAGTCTCTATTCTGACTTTTCAACTACTGAAGTTATTTTCACCAAAAGCAAAATGGTCATTTAAAAAGACAAAGTATGCTTATCAATCACAGCTGGTAACCAAACTTCAACCAAGATCAAAGCTTTAGAGCACCAGTCCCTAAATTAAGTTTTCTTTTCTTTTTTTCTTTCTTGAGAAAGAGTCTTGCCCTGTTGCCCAGGCTGGAGTGCAATGGTGCCATCTTGGCTCACTGCAACCTCTGCCTCCCGGGTTCAAGCAATTCTCCTGCCTCAGGCTCCCAAGTAGCTGGGATTACAGGTGGGCACCACCATCGCCGGCTAATTTTTTTTGTGTGTACCTTTGTAGAGACAGGGTTTCACCACGTTGGCTAGGCTGGCCTCAAACTCCTGACCTCATGATCTGCCCACCTTGGCCTCCCGAAGTGTTGGGATTAAAGGCTCAAGCCACCACGCCTGGCCCTAAATTTAGTTTTCCATTTTAATTTACAACTTAAATTCTAAGTGGCTGCTTAAGCAAAGAGCAATACTGCCTTTTTCTGGATATAAGGAAGTATAACCTTCCACTTAAATAAGAAAAAAAAAAAAAGGAAAAATTCACAGCAGAACTTAAATCTTACAATGAAAAAAGTACATAAAAAGAAAATGTTCAGGCTGGGCACAGTGACTCATGCCTGCAATCCCAGAACTTCAGGAGGGCAAGACGGGAGGATCGCTTGAGCCCAGGAATTCGAGACCAGCCTGGAGAACAAAGTGAGACCCCATCTCTATAAAAAATAAAAATAAAATAAATTAGTCAAGCATGGTGGCCAGCACCAATAGTCTCTACTACTCCACGAGCCTGAGGCAGGAGGATTGCAGGAGCCCAGGAGTTTAAGGTTACAATGAGCTATGATCATACCACTGCAATCCAACTAGTGTGCAAGACTCTGTCTCAAAAAACAGAACAAAAAACAAAATTTCAGTAACTGAGAGGAAGAAGAAAAACAAGCTGCATCCAAAATAAAAGCCTATTCTTTTATTTGAGTTAAGATCAGTCTGATACAGGAAGAATTTACTTTCTCCTTAGGAAAATGCTGATGTCAAATAAAGATCCCCCACTTAAATTCAGACAAATTACTTATTATTTAGTATAAAGAGGTAACAAAACTGACGTACCTAATTATGGAAAGTTATGGAGGTCGAAAGATTCTTTTAATATTCAAAGAAAAGGAACATAATTCTCAATTATGACTAATGTGAAATCTTCTATCTACTCATTCCTTTGACATTGTAAGTTAATCTTTTTATAAAGTATTTTGAAATGATACAAGTTGCAAATGTAGCACTGGACTTTGCTATTCATGCCCTCCTTTAACTCAACTTTCTTTCCCAATTCCATACTGAAAAAGGCTGTTTAGGCCAGGTGTGGTGGCTCATGCCTGTAATCCCAGTCACTTTAGGAGGCTGAGGCAGGCAGATCATGAGGTCAGGAGTTGGAGACCACCTTGGCCAATATGGTGAAACCCTGTCTCTACTAAAAATGTAAAAATAGCTGGGCATGGTGACACACACCTGTAGTCCCAGCTATGTGGGAGACTGAGGCAGGAGAATTACTTGAACCCAGGAGGTGGAGGTTGCCGTGAGCTGAGATCGTGCCACTGTACTACAGCCTGGGCAACAGAGCAAGACTCCGTCTCAAGGAAAAAAAAAAAAAGGCTGTTAAAAATAAAATGCCGGCCGGGCACAGTGGCTCAAGCCTGTAATCCCAGCACTTTGGGAGGCCGAGGCGGGTGGATCACGAGGTCAAGAGATCGAGACCATCCTGGTCAACATGGTGAAACCCCGTCTCTACTAAAAATACAAAAAATTAGCTGGGCATGGTGGTGTGTGCCTGTAATCCCAGCTACTAAGGAGGCTGAGGCAGGAGAATTGCCTGAACCCAGGAGGCGGAGGTTGTGGTGAGTCGAGATCGTGCCATTGCACTCCAGCCTGGGTAACAAGAGTGAAACTCCGTCTCAAAATAAAATAAAATAAAATAAAATAAAGTAAAATAAAACAAAATGCCCCATCCAACATGTATCCCATCTCTACCGGCATTACCTCTCCCTGTCCTGCAGCTCCCATTATCTTAAAATAAAAAAAAAGCTAGCCCAAGTACCTTTGTGAACAGTGGTTGTTTTTATTTTGCTATTATAATAATTCAAATCTTAAATATTTCCCTTACAAAAATATTTATCCTTTATGCCAGTCAGTCACCAGTTTGCCTGAGTTACTATTGATTCACAATTACTACTTCAGGTCTTAAGACTTTGATCCATCTAGAAAATTACTTGGTCACTGTGATACTGTGACATAAGAAATATATATTTGATCTCTGCCCCTGGTTCCTGGCACAGAGCTCCTAATCCCTTGGAATTTCCTGGGTAAGGCCAGTGTTTTCTGTTCTAAAGAGGCAACTCTTGGTGAACTGCTAGGTCACAAGAAAGACCATGCCATGATTAGATGCTTTAATCTCCACCCCCCTCATCATCCAAGAAGGGGAGAGGGGCTGAAGACTGAGTTAATAATTGATCATGCCTACATGATGAAGTCTTCATAAAAATCCCTGAGCTACAGAATTTGGAGAAACTCCAGGTTGCTAAACACATGAAGGTGCCTGTAGGGGGGCATGGCAAGAGAGGACATGGAAGCTCCATAGGCCTTTCCATGTATCTTGCCCTGTGCATCTCTTCCAGCTGGCTCTTAATCTGTATCCTTTGCCATCCATAGCCTTTATCATGAACCAGTAATGTAAGGAAGGGCTTCCGAGTTCTGTGAGATGCTCTAGCAAATGACTAAACCAAGGAGGGGAGTTATGAGAACCTTCAATTTATAGCTGGTCAGTCAGAAGTTCTGGAGTCCCAGACTTGCAACTGGCATCTGAAGTGGGGACGGTCTTATAGGGGTGAGCCCTTAACCTGAGGGATCAGACTCTAACACCAGGGAGACAGTGTGAGAATTGAATTGGATCATAGGACACCCAGCTGGTGATGGAGAATTGGTCAGTGTAGGGGTGGGGGAGGAAGCATATACAGGTCAATAAGTATGTTCAGAAAACAGTTTATCTTTTTTTTCTACTATACTCGATTCTTAGATTCAAAAAAAAAAAAAATTAAAGAACAAAAATGAGGCCAGGTGCAGTGGCTCACGCCTGTAATCCCAGCACTTTGGGAGGCCAAAGCAGGCGGATCACAAGGTCAGAAGTTCAAGACCAGCCTGGTCAATATGGTAAAATCACGACTCTACTAAAAATACAAAAATTAGCCAGGCACAGTGGCAGGCGACTGTAATCGCCTTGGGAGGCTGAGGCAGGAGAATCACCTGAACCCAGGAGGCAGTGATTGCAGTAAGCCAAGACTGTGCCATTGCACTCCAGCCTGAGTGACAGGGATAGACTCTACCTCAAAAAAAAAAAAAAAAAAAAGAAAGAAAGAAAGAAATCAAACAGACTCCCTTCTCCTAAACTAATATTCCAAATGAACAAGCTAGTTAATACTTAACTCTTTTCTTGACAGCTATCTGAAGCAAGAAGTATTACAGAAATACTGATATAATGCTGTTATATAAACCAAACCCACCAGACATACAACTAAAACTCTAAAATCCTTAGTAAGTTAGTCTCAAAAAAAAAAAAAAAAAAAATTATGTTGGCTGGGTGCAGTGGCTCATGGCTATAATCCCAGCACACTGGGAGGCTGAGGTGGGTGGATCACTTGAGCCCAGGAGTTTGAGACCAGCCTGGCCAACATGGCAAGACCTCATCTCTACAAAAAATACAAAAGCTTAGCTGGGTATGGTGGTATGTGCTTGCGGTCCCAGCTACCTGGGAGGCTAAGGTGGGATGATCACCTGAGCCTGGGAGGTTGAGGCTGCAGTGAGCCATGATCGTACCACTGTACTCCACTCTGTATGACAGAGTGAGACCCTGACTCAAAAAAAAAAAAAAAAAAAGAAAAGAAAAGAAAAGAAAAAAAATTAAACATTCCAAAGGCACCATCTTACTGAATACAGTCATTTCTCCTTTAAGCAAGAATAACATGGCTTGATTTTCAATTCATGGTGTCTGTTAATCAGAAAACAGGTTGCATTCAGATAATCAGGCTCTGCTACTCGTATCTAGCACTAATCTAGAAATAATGACAAGAGCTCTGACATCTGCCAATTTGTTTCCAACAGAGGTAAAGGAGAAAATAGTACGTGTGTGTTAACAGAGTGGGAAAAGTAAAGCTGTTATTATGCAAAAAGAGATAATCAATGGTGTATTTACTCAGATATGTATAGATTTTTATAGGTATACACTTTTAATTATAGAACCCTCTTATTAAATTCTTGTACAAAAAATAACTTGCTATGAATAAAATTCTATAGCCCCTAGCCCATTCTTTCCTATTAAAATAACTGCTTTTATTATTTGGTTTTTAAATATAATTTGCTTTTGATAACTGAGAGTTTCTTAGGAACACAGCTACCATATTACAGCAGAATAGAACAATGACTTCTCAAAATTGACCTATATATACTCTTCACTCATACCAACCTGTAGAACCAGATGTTGCTTCAGGAGATGATATACTCTGCGTTGGCTTTTCATTTCTCTGGTTTGGTGTAGAAATTATAAGCCTGTCTTGCCCCCTGACACTTATTTCTGTTTTGTTACCAATTCCCTTTAAAATAAGGCAAAAGAAAAAACAACAAAACAGGTGATTACCAGGCAAGTGGCATCATGGGCTTATAAAGATGGCTTCAAATGATGGTAATTTGCATAAATTTTATAGGATCTTTGATTGCAATTAAGTTATTATCTTAGCTTTTATTAGAACAAATTTGATTAAGTGACCAAGGTATTTTTTTTTAAATTAAAAAACATTTTGTTTTTTTTTTTGGAAATGGAGTCTCCCTCTGTCGCCCAGGCTGGTCTGCAGTGGTGCAGTCTTGGCTCACTGCAACCTCTGCCTCCTGGGTTCAGGCAGTTTTCCTGCCTCAGCCTCCCTGAGTAGCTGAAACTACAAGTGCATGCCACCATGCCCAGCTAAGTCCAATATATATTTTAAAAAGCATGATAAGATCACGCAAGGAAGAGTATTTGTCTAAGTCCAGGTGATAAACATTACTAAAAAAAATACACCTGTATCACTCAATATTCTATCAAAACAAAGTATGTTCTGGTCTTTATACATATCACAGTAAGAGAACTCCAAGTCATTTTCATTTAGTAAAGTGCTCTATTACACAGAAAAAAATGCCAACCTTTCTTAACAGACAGGAATATTCCTAGATACAGAAATACATCACTCATGGTGACCAAAATGTAACCTACTAAGTAATCTGGAGCAGAAAGAAGGCAGGTATAAATAACTTAGGTCTCATTTTAGGTATTCTTAATGCAATGCAATAGAAGCAAAGAAGTGATTTATAAATAAACATATATGGCCAGGCACCGTAGCTCCTGCCTGTAATCTCAACACTTTGGGAGGCTGAGGCAGGAGAACATCTTGAGGGCAGGAGTTTGATACCAGCCTAAGACCCTGTCTGTACGAACAGTTTTTAAAAGGCCAGGCACACAATGGCTCATGCCTGTAATTTCAGTGCTGTGGGAGGCCAAGGCAGAAGATCCCCTGGGGCTTCAGTGAGCTATGATCGACTACTGTACTCCAGGTTGGGCCACAGAGTAAGACCTCATCTCTTAAAAATAAATACACACCTCATCTCTTAAAAATAAAACACACACACACACACACACACACACACACACACACGTATTTTTAAAGCCTTCATTTTGAAAGATGTTTTATCTTGAATTCCTTTAAATAGCATTCTTCGAGGTGGTGGTGACAAAGTTTGACTTGTACATCCAGAAGCAGTAAAACTAGCTCCAAAAATAACACCAATTTGTACTCAAAAAAGATGCAACATACTCATTTGCTATTTGAAAGATGAAAAATATTCATTTGCTATCAAGATAACCAAGTGAAGACTGCAACTCATGTTTTTCTAGGTAGCTTGGCCTTAACTGAAATCAGCTGAACTCATAGGCAGACCCAGTTAAAAGAGCATCCTTAATGTTTCTCTAGGAAGATGTATTACTAATGAAGCATACCTGTGTTTAACTAATTATACTGTATATGACTATATTAGAGAAAAATAAGCATAGACTTCTTTCATACACATGAATGAAAAGGAACTAAATCAAAATCCCAAACTCGACACTGTGGTATGGGATTGGATGGTAGTGAAGAGGTACATGGAATAAATACTACCAATATTATGGAAGAGTTTTAAAGTCTTCAAGCTGAAGCATAGTGCCCTAAATGGAGGCCCAGAACAAACTGATGAAGGCACATAGTTTGTAGAGGCTGTTTTTAGCCCATTACCCAAGTTACTGCCACAGCTAATTGTTACAGAACAAACAAAGTTCTGGGATTTCTGTGAAATGCAGTTAGATATCCCAAGCCAATAAGAATCTAACAAAATTGCTGGTAGAACCAAACAGCTCAGCAGGTACAACTATTACAGTGGCTTTTATAACAATGGTCATATAATTAACAAAAATGATTTTAATAAGAAGCACACTTTGCAACTAAGAAAAGCTAACTACACAAACTAGAAACAGGCAAAGTGCCCAGTTTTTTTCCATGATTTTAGGGAGCTAAGCTCAATTTTGGCTGCACAGCTAAAGACTAATCTACTACAGATGGGAATATCACAAAAGGAGGAGGAAGAAAAGAAGAAAAACATAGCCTTTTTTGCCTGTCTTTTTTGCCCAAAGAATACAACGACTGTACATTTCAAATTCAGTGGGTAGAAAGGGTATTTAAATGTTGCCAAGGTTGTTTTTTAAATGCCAACATTAGCCACTTTTAAAATACCATCCCCCAAAAAATGCCACGAAAAGAGGTACCTTTGTTGAATAAACAAATTGATCAATAAATTTCCCATCCCCTGTAGCATTCTGAAGAGCAAACACTTGTTCAATTTTCACAACTGGAGACATGTTACACTTCTGCAAATCCAGGCTCCCTTTGTGCATCGTAATGGAAGCTGGTAAGGATTTCCTTGCTGCCGCAGTTTTCCAGGCTATTTTAACAGGAGGTGGCTCTTCCTCTTCCGCACTTGTGTGCCGCCTCTGGCTATGTCTCCGAATTTCAGTACTTGAGAGTGAGGAGGCCACCTCCCCTGCATTGGTCTGTTCTGGTTGAGTATTCAGCACAGATCTTGGTCGTCGAGTTTTTTTAACTTCAGTTTTGGAGGCAACATTCTTTTTTGCTTGGGATAAAGCCTCTTCAGGCTGTTTATCAATATAGATAAAAGTATACTGTTCTATTCTTTCTTCTCGAGTCATTTTCAATGCTTTCTCTGCATGGGCAATGCCAATATCCCACTGAGCACGCTCTCTCTGAGGTCGGGGTTTCCGAATCTTTAAAAAAGATAAGAGATTATCAGACATGCTTTACTCTAATAAATACATTAAAATCGATATGCATTTTCCCATGTGATCCTGTTATCTTTTCAGGTCTACATAAATATCTTCAGGTTCTTTGGTCAAACAAGTGGAATGTTCTATCTCCATAATTCTGATAAATAGTTATTAGGTAACATGAGGATCTACTCTCCTTTATAGCATTCCTTTGCTGATCACTCTGCTGGACAAGGCCCCCAAAGAGGGAGACATCCTTCTCCTCACATACACATAAAAAGCTAGTGATAAGGAAGGAGAAGAGAAAAATGATTACAGAAATGATTATTTTCAGTGGCTAATAAAAATACTAACAATAAAAATGATAGCCTGAAACTCCCATTTCTCCCCCACATCTAGGGTAGAGGGCAAATCAGGGGTGCTAAAGAGATCACAACAAAGCTACTAGCAGAGTCTGAATCACAATGCAAGCAGGGACAGAATGAAGTGAAAAGACAGAGCTCCAAGGAACAAATGAAAAGTTGACAAGACAAAGGAAAGAGGCATTGATCAGAAAAAGAGGTAGACCTCAATTAGAGTTTCCATAGGTCTCTAGGTCCAGAGTTGATCAGAAGACTTTAGATTGGCAAGAGAGGTAAAAATACTTTGAATAAAGATGTGTGAGGTGGCCAAAGCAATTAGGAATTATCCATGTGGCTGGACTGATGATATTAGTTAAAACTATCAGACAGTATATGTCAAATACTGATATATAAATCTGTAAAATGTGTCTCATAAAATTAATTAAAATTCTGTGATAAAATTTAGTTTTTCAAGTGTAAAAAATGACAAATTTCTAAATCAGAGACCCACACTAAAATTACTTGAGTTTAAAATCTGAACCAGATTACCAAGAGTTCATGTCAAAATTCTAAAATATCCACCACCACATCAAATATATTTCCTGATTCCATCACTTGTGTGATCTCGGTTAAACCAGTTACATAAGCTATACCTCAATTTCTTCATCTGTGAAAAGGGGAATAATAGTATCTACCTCCTATAGGTTGTTATGAATAATAAATGAGTATATATATATAATGCTTAAAACAATAGCTGTTTGGTAGGTACTCACTAAATATTTTTAAAACTTCACTTTCATAAAACAATTTTGTTAAATAAGAATGAAAAGAAATTATGGAAAGATGCTGAAATAGAAAAAAGAGTAAAAATCCCTGGCAAAATCCACATTTCACTAGCATCTACTACACTTATGCACATTAATGAAACTCACAATAGAAGCCAATATTGTATTAAGCAAGTAGCTAAAGTTTTTAATAATACTACATATTGTTTATATGACATATAAAACTCACTGGTGTACTTAAAAACTTATTAGACATTTACCATTATGATTAAAACTGAGCTTAAAGGGGTTTTAAAAAAGGATTCTAGTAATTGAATTCAAGCATGAAAAATTCTTCTAAGTTACTAAATTCTTTAAAAACCATACTATGCCGGGCGCAGTGGCTCACGCCTGTAATCCCAGCACTTTGGGAGGCTGAGGCGGGTGGATCACGAGGTCAAGAGATCGAGACCATCCTGGTCAACAAGGTGAAACCCTGTCTCTACTAAAAATACAAAAATTAGCTGGGCATGGTAGCGCATGCCTGTAATCCCAGCTACTCAGGAGGCTGAGGCAGGAGAATTGCCTGAACCCAGGAGGCCGAGGTTGCGGTGAGCCGAGATCGTGCCATTGCACTCCAGCCTGGGTAACAAGAGCGAAACTCTGTCTCAAAAAAAAAAAAAAAAAAAAAAAAAAAACCATACTAGGTAAATAATATTAATATGTTAGTTACCTTTTGTTTCTCAGAGTGATTGCTGGCTTGTTTGGTTGCCTCAGCCAGTAATTCTTCATACTGTTTATGACCTTTATACTCCCGTACCCGTTTTTCATGAACCCATGCCCTCTCTGGCTGGTTGCTAAAAAACTGGACATGATATTCTCGTGCACCTGTAAGTAAAAATTCTTATTAACCATTTCAGAACATGAGCATTCTTATTAACCATTTCAGAACATGAGCATCCATAACTATTTTGCCAAAGATGGGACTCTAACCCAAGTTCTTCAATTAAAACTTGTATGTTCTGACTGAAATGTTCAGAACATACCATGTTCTCCCATTAAAACTTGTACGTTCTGACTGTCCAAAGATATATTACAATATCTACCAGTTATAGAACTAATAGCTACTGTAAAAGTCATTACAAATAATTAAGTGACTGCACCACTGGACTCCAGACTTAGTGACAGAGCAAGACCCTGTCTCGAAAAAAAAAAAAAGGAGATTTACAAAAATGTAAAACAACTTTCTTCTCATTAATTTTTTTTAACAAAATAGTCATTTTTCATAAAAATATAATTAATGATAGCATGTTAGTGGTTCCTGTTTTTAGAGACATGGTTTCTTTCACTCTGTGGCCCAGGCTGGACTGCAATGGCATGATCCTAGCTCACTGCAGCCTCAAACTCCTGGGCTCCGGCAATTCTGTGCCTTAGTCTCTTGAGCAGGCAAGACTTATAGGCACATGTCACCATGCTCAGTTTATTAATAATTTTTTTTTTTTTTGGAAGAGATGGGAGTCTTACTATGTTGCTCAGGCTGGTCCCAAACTCTTGGCTTCAAGTGATCCTCCTGCCTCAGCCTCCCAAAGCACTGAGATTACAGGAATGAGCCACTGGCCTCAGCCTATGATAGGTTCTTATTTTTCAATAAATTAATAAATATTTTGAAATTTTATCAGCTTTAACTTTTTTTTAACTGAGATGGGGTCTTGCTATGTTGCCCAGGCTGGTCTTGACCTTCTGGGATCAAGCAATCCTCTTGTCTCAGCCTCCCAAAGTGTTAGAATTACAGGCGTGAGCCACTGCACCTGGCATCTCAGTTTTAATTTCTAAATTTAAATAACATTAGATATAACCCACATAAACAAAAGCCTTTTTGAGTCTTCAAATTTTAGGAGTAAAAGGGGTCCTGGGACCAAAACATCTGAGAACTTCTGATTAAGGGCAATGCTACTACTCTGAAAGTTGTTTGACCCACAAGCCAGTCTGTGACTAAGTAGAGAAGTTGAGTTGGCATTGAGAAGCTCTGACAACAATATGACATTGTTATGATACCTAGACACATGATCAAGTATTTTTTCACTGGAAGGGCATTCATTTTTTTAAAAACAATTAAGTTTGGTTGCATTTTACAGAGGTATTAATTTATAGCAGACTAAAAATTGAAAAAATAAAAACTGATCTTAAAAATAGTCTGAAAAATGCTGTTCTAGAGAAAACATATTAGATCAATGGAGAAATGCAGAAACTGATCTTTTTAAGGTAATTAGGTAGAAGAGAAAGGCAACAGTGAACTCAGATTTCCACATCATCTCATCTGAGAATAAAGACCCAAGCACAAATCTAATTATAAATTAATCAAGGAAGATTTTTCTGAAATCCAAAGATTTTTTTTGGGGGGGGGTGGATATAACCTAAACTAATAGGGGAACTTCATGGACAGGGTAGTGGGTACAGGTATTGGGATTAAAAAAACATAGTACATGATGTTTTCAAACATCAATGTTATTTCTTCAGCTATAAACAGATAATCCCAAAGGACTTAACATAAAAACTGAAATTTATAGATTACACAATTTCATTTTAATCTGTATTTTCAATTTCTTCCTCCATTAAATCATTTACTAGAGAAGAAACAAGACAAACATTTTGCCTATTTGTTAGCACTTTGCTTCCTGATACATGGAAAACTATAAAATAAGACTGAAATAAGAAGCTAAAGGCCTGAAAAGTAAAGAAACAAGCACATCTGTCTCTGACTGAAGAGCTACATTTTTATTGAGACCTAAATAATGAAATACAACTTAAAATAGAACTGTGATCCAAACATCTTTCAACATGCTCTTATAAAGAATTGTCACATCTTTATGTGTGAAAAACTATTAAGTGCCGGGCACAGTGGCTCAAGCCTGTAATCCCAGCACTTTGGGAGGCCGAGGCGGGTGGATCACGAGGTCGAGAGATCGAGACCATCCTGGTCAACATGGTGAAATCCCGTCTCTACTAAAAATACAAAAAAATTAGCTGGGCATGGTGGCGCGTGCCTGTAATCCCAGCTACTCAGGAGGCTGAGGCAGGAGAATTGCCTGAACCCAGGAGGCGGAGGTTGCGGTGAGCCGAGATCGTGCCATTACACTCCAGCCTGGGTAACAAGAGCGAAACTCCGTCTCAAAAAAAAAAAAAAAAGAAAAAAGAAAAAAAGAAAAACTATTAAGTACATTTTCCAATCCTAAGAATCTAATAAAAATACTAACTAATAACAATATGGAAACCAGTGATTACTATATATGATGAAGATAAATTTCACAAAGTTGCTTAGATAGAAAGCAACACAGGAGATTCACTCATTTCTCTAGATATCTCCCATGTATACATGTGGTATTACATGCTATTAAAAAAATAAGCAGCATAAAATGCTTAATAGGCATCATGGGTGGAACACAATAAAATTTTTAGGCTGTGTTTTTGATTTTCAGAAAAACTGAAAAAAGAAAAACTGTCAGAAAAAAAAAAACTACTGCATTTAAAACTATACTATATAGCCATAAATGGAACACGATTTGGCAATAAAAAGGAATAAAGCACTGATACCATGCTAAAACATGGATGAACCTCAAAAACATTATGGTAAGTGAATGAAGCCTACAGAGACAGAAAGTAGTTACTAGCTGCTTAGTGGGTGGAAATAGGGGTGACTGCTAATAGATACAGGATTTTTTTGGGGTGATGAACACTTTCTAAAATACATTGTGGTGATGGTTGCACAACTCTGTGAATGTATAGATTTTTTAAATCAATCAAGTGCACATTTTAAAAGGGTGAATAGGGCCGGGCGCGGTAGCTCATGGTTATAATTCCAGCACTTTGGGAGGCCGTTGAGGGCGGATCACAGGGTCAAGAGATTGAGTTTGACATTGTTATGATATGCAGACATGTGATCAAGGATCTTGCACTAGGTATTTTTCACCCTGGCCAACATGGTGAAACCCCGTCTCTACTAAAAAAATAGAAAAATTAGCTGGGCGTGGTGGTGGGTGCCTCCCAGCTACTTGGGAGGCTGAGGCAGGAGAATCACTTGAACAGGCAGGAGGCAGAGGTTGCAGTGAGCCGAGATTGCGCCACTGCATTCCAGCCTGATGACAGAGCAAGCCTCTGTCTCAAAAAAGTAAAAAAGGGTAAATTGGCCAGGCACAGTGGCTCAGGCCTGTAATCCCAGCACTTTGAGAGGCTAAGGTGGGCAGATGGTGAGGTTAGAAGCGCGCACACACACGCACGCGCGCACACACACACGCCAGGCATGGTAGTGGGCGCCTGTAATCCCAGCTACTTGGGGAGGCTGAGGCAGGTCATTCGCTTGAACCCGGGAGGCAGAGGTTGCAGTGAGCCAAGATTATGCAAATGCACTACAGCCTGGGCGACAGTGTGAGATTCCAACTCAAAAAAAAAGGAACGGTAAATTTTATGAAATAAAAATTGTATTTCATTAAAGTTTTTTAAACCGCTATAGAAAATAGAACAATTTAAATTTTTATCAAAATACACATTTTTTAACCTAAAATTTCAGACCTCTGATAGTAATATAAACAAAATTGGTTTCTTGTCGGGGTTGTTGGGCATCTACGGTACTCATATGAGTTAATTTTGTTGTATTAGAGAAATAATACACAGGATTAGGGAACTAATTAGATAAATAATTATAAAAGCGTGGTCATGGAAAGTGAGTAATTCTTCTATAACAGGGGATGTAGCATCTTAAAGGCCTAATTGTACTGGATGAACCATTAAGATATATAGTGTTTACCCTTTAACTTTGGCAAAGTTATGTAATAATTTTCCTAATATCTTATTGAGAAAGAGTCATAGAGGTTATGGGATTGGCTTGAAACCAGTTTCTGGAGGTTTGATTCCTTCCTTTCTCACTTAGTTTTCACGTAGGTTGGCTCTTCGAATAGTGGAAAGCCGTAAAATCAATTGTTAGTAATTTTTGTTTTAAAGTAATGACTTCTCAGATCATAAAGATTATTAGTATAACTGCTATGAGATAAATGAGCCTACAGATGAGATGATATTTCATGTGATATGTGCATCAGGATAATTCGAGTGATGTCAAGGCATACTGGATAGGCCAAGGAAGAGCTGTGGAAAAAAGGTTAAATTAATACCTATGAATATAATGGTGAAGTAGATTTTATCATAGGTCTTATTTTGTAGCCTGAAAATAGGGGGAATCAGTGGACAAAGCCTCCCATAATAGCAAATACCTCTCTTATTGATAGGACGTAGTAGAAATGGGCTACAATATGTGTCTTGTAAGACAATATCTAAGGATGAGTTAGCTAGTATGATGCCTGTTAAACCCCCTACTGTGAAAAGGAAAATGAAATCTAGGGCTCAGAATGTTGCAGGAGATCATTTGATGTTACCACTGTGCAATGTAGCTAATCAGCTGAAGATCTTGACACCAGTAGGGATAGCAATAATTATGGTAGCAGAGGTGAAGTATGCTTGTGTGTCTACGTCTATTCCTACTGTATGGTGAGCTCATACAATAAACCGTTAGGAAGCCAACTGATATCATGGCTCACACTATGCCCATGTACACAAATGGTTCCTTTTTTTCCGGAATAATATGTTACCATGTGAGAGATTATCCCAAAGCCTGGTAGGATAAGGATACAGACTTCAGGGGGACCAAAGAATCAGAATATATGATGGTACAAGATAGGGTCACCCCCACCAGAAGGGTCGAAAAAAGTTGTGTTGAGATTATGGTCGGTCAATAGTATAGCAATGCCCGTGGCTAGGACTGGGAGGGAAAGAAGCAGAAGGACAGCTGTAATGAGGACTGATCAGACAAAAAGGGGTGTCTGATACTGGGATATGGCTGGGGGTTTTATGTTAATAATTGTGGTAATAAAATTAATGGCCCCTAAAATAGAAGAAGCACCTGCTAAGGGGAATGAGAAGATGGTCAGATCCACAGAGGCTCCTGCCTGTGCTAGGTTTCCTGCTAAAGGGGCATAAACTGTTCAGCCAGTTCCCACACCAACTTCTTCTACTGAGGAGGCAAGCAGGAGTAGAAAAGATGGGGAAAGAAGTTAGAAACTCATATTATTTATCTGGGGGAATGCAATATTGGGTGCACTGATACAGTGCACTAAAGTAGGAGACTGCCTAGGGGGTACCAGGCTAGATAAATTTTTTTTTTTTTGAGTCCGAGTCTCACTCTGTCACCCAGACTGGAGTGCAGTGGTGCAATCTTGGCTCACTGCAACCTCCATCTCCTGGGTTCAAGTGATTCTCCTGTCTCAGTCTCCTCAGTAGCTGGGATTACAGGTGTGCACCATGACACCTGGCTAATTTTTGTATTTTTAGTAGAGATAGGGTTTCACAGCATTGGCCAGGCTGGTCTTAAACTCCAAACCTCAGGTGATCCACCCACCTCGGCCTCCCAAAGTGCTGGGATTACAGGCAGGAGGCACGGAGATCAGCTAAGATTAGGTTAATTACAAAAATTAAATGTAAATACTTCCTTTGAAATACAGATGAGACATAATTGTGCTTTCATTTGTATCTTGAAAAAAGCTGAAATCAGCAGGTTTTCATAAAGTAATTGAATATGAAACTCTTTATATAAGCTCAACAGTATGCTTTCCTCAGGAGAGAGAACTGAAGAGCCACAGTTCTGACATGATGTAATTTCTTAGAGAGCTCTGGAGGCCCAGATGTGAACATCAATTGTTTTATTTAAGAAAGCACGGCCTTCTTGGAAAATCCTTGTCTTGTCTCTTCCCACTCATATAACCATAGATTATGAGAGGGACAGGGTAATTCAGAGATGACTAGTCCAATACCCTTCTTATATAAACGAAGGAACTATAATAAGACTGCCTCCCCCAACCTCTGTAAATGATGACTGGGTGAATTTAATTGCTTTCCCTGTAATATAAGACAGTGTTTAAGAGGACAGGTTATGAAATTAAGATTTCTTTGAGATTCTATTTACTTATTTGAAACAAGGGATAATAATAGTACCTATTTCATTGTGTTGCTGCTATGAGGATTGTATAAGAAAATATGTAAGATAACTGCTGAATACAAGACCTTGCACTAAAGCAGACAGCCAATAATGTTGGTTTTTCACTTCTGCCTCTCTGATATACCCTCTCTCTTAGCCTTTAATCAGCAGGTCACATTGACAAGATGAAACATGGTCGAGCCAGGTGGCCTTCTACACTGGGAGAGATTCTTGATAATGGAGCACAAGAATTACAGATATTGTTGATCCGGTCGCATATCTGCCTTGCCAGACATAAATAGACTGTTTTTCCCTTCACAAGAGTGAACAAGGACCAAGACAGACAGTTTAAAGTAAAAGAAACAGGTACAAACTTGTCACAAACAATGAGGAACTCTAAACATGACAAAAGTCAATTCACAAAGTTAACACCCAGAAATAATTTCTAAGCTCAAACCTTTCTTTGGCTACTAAGCAAGTTCATTGCAAATGCGAGAATCTCAGCAATCTAATCCACATCACTCTTTGGTCGAATCCCAGAAAAGGAGTAGAAAGAAGTTAGAATATGTCTTTCTTAATTTTTATTAGCATTCTTAAGGTAGGATTCTATATTACATAGCTAGCTTCAGGCTACAATTCTATGTCATATCAAATTTATAGGGATGCCCCAGTAGACTTACAGATTTAAGAATGGAGTGTAGAGGAAAAAAAACCATCCTACAAAATTTGTCTGGGTGAAAAATTACTATCCATAGCAGTCAACGACAAAATAAAAATGTTCAAAGAAGGCTTGGCCCAAATGCTTATTAAGCTCATATAAACATCTGATAACTTATCCATACAGTTTCTTTAGGAAACGTGAGGTCATATTTTCAGTCAGATTCAGGTCTTTAAAAAAAAGCAAGTGTAAAAAAAATTATAAGCAAATGTAGGATGTCATAAGGGAAACAAGGACTGCATTAGCCATAGAGGCACTCTGCCAGTTAAGATGACCATCAGTATTTCACTGGTTTTGAAAACTGATACAGAGGCCAGGTGCAGTGGTTCACGCCTGTAATCTTACCACTTTGGGTGGCCAAGGCAGGTGGATCACCTGAGGTCAAGAGAACGAGACCAGCCTGGCCAACATGGTGAAACCTGGTCTCTACTAAAAATACAAAAAATAGTTGAGACTAGTGGCACACGCCTGTAATCCCAACTACCCCGGAGGCTGAGGCAGGAGAACTGCTTGAACCCAGGAGGCAGAGGCTGCAGTGACCGAAGATCACGCCTTTGCACCCCAGCCTGGGTGACAGAGAAAAAACTCAGTCTCAAAACAAAGCAAAGCAAAACAAAAACCCACAAAACTGATACAGACATGCACACTTTTGTATCAGATTATATGTTACATTATTCACATACAACATTTAAAAGACACTTTTATTTCCAACCTTTTACTTAACATCTGTTTATACCTTTTCTTACCTCTTGTGTTAATTTTGGTATGAACCTCAAGCTGGGGATCACTTGAAACCATACAAGGCCACCAAGGATAGGTTCCCACCTTGGACCACACAAGATCACCAACCTGAAACTTAACACCAGTGGACACTTCTGTTGTTGGAACAGAAGATAATATTGGCTGAACCTACAGGAAAGGATCAAAAACTTCATCAGAAATTCAAAAAAAGAAACTATGTATAAAGTACATTAAAAATGCTAACAATATAAATTTATCTTCAATTACACTTTACTGATATAGGGAAGGGTCAAAAACTTCATCAGAAAATAAAAAAAAAGAAACTATGTATACAATATATTAAAAATGCTAACAATGTAAATTTATCTTCAATTATACTTTTCTCTCATACCTCCTATCTAAAACTAGCAAAACGGAAGGAGGAAAAATATTAATAAGCCCTACCCCAAATACTGAAAATAGGACTGATGGTTTCTGTTGGCAAATAAAAATTTTTTTTTCAGACAGTCTCGCTCTGTTGCCAGCCACCAGGCTGGAGTGCAGTGGTGCGATCTCAGCTCACTGCAACCTCCGCCTCCTGGGTTCAAGCAATTCTCCTGAGTAGCTAGAACTACAGGCGCACACCACCACGCCCAGCTAATTTTTGTATTTTAGCAGAGATTGGGTTTCACCATGTTAGCCAGGATGGTCTCAATCTCTTGACCTTGTGATCCATCCGCCTCAGCCTCCTGAAGTGCTGGGATTACAGCCGTAAGCCACTGGGTCTGGCCTCTGTTGCCAAATTATTAACAAGGCATGTTAAGAATACACATGATCAATTAAAAAAAAAAATAGGTCATAGTTTTGAAACGGAAAATAATTCACTGAAAATATCCACCTCTCAAACTAGCTCCAAGATTTATTTCAATATAATTTCTGAAATTAAGAAGCACAGTACCATAATAAAATGTGTTGCAATTCAATCATTATGTTTCACCTTCTTCCACCATATGTGATTAGACAGTATTCAGTAAAACAACTTACCGGGGCTTCCTCTTTTAGTACTGGATCTTCCCTTGGTTTTTCGGCTACACTGTCAACCCTCTCATTTGGTCTCTAGGTGAAAAGATATAGGTAAGTTGAATAAAATGGCATTACAGATACAAAAAACGAAAACAGTAACATATAGAAAAAGAAAAACTAAATAAAGAGAATAAAGGGCATTTATTAAATGAACAATATAAGGAGTAAGAATACAACTTAATTAGACATAATGCTGTCTCAACATCCATTTTCCATTCCAGGCCATAGCTTTATCTCTTTTTTCTTATATTGTTACTTTTAAAACTTAATTTCTAAATAAACTGGTAATTTTTCTTTAACGCTCAGATTCTAGAAAAAATAGGTATTCTAAGATTTCTAGTAAGATGTAACTTGAAGGCCGGGCGTGGTGGCTCAAGCCTGTAATGCCAGCACTTTGGGAGGCCGAGGCAGGTGGATCACGAGGTCAAGAGATCAAGACCATCCTGGTCAACAAGGTGAAACCCCGTCCCTACTAAAAATACAAAAAGTTAGCTGGGCATGGTAGCGTATGCCTGTAATCCCAGCTACTCAGGAGCCTGAGACAGAAGAATTGCCTGAACCTAGGAGGCAGAGGTTGCGGTGAGCCAAGATCGCGCCATTGCACTCCAGCCTGGGTAACAAGAGCGAAACTCCGTCTCAAAAAAAAAAAAAAAAAAAAGATGTGTAACTTGAAACTTTTCTGGAAAGCAATTTGGCTGTATATATGAAAAGCATTAAATTCTCAGACTCTGACCTTGCAAATCCACTTCTAAGAGTGTGTACTTGAAAATCACTGAGAAATGTAAAAAATATGGATAAGTATGAAGATATGCATACCAGTGCTACTTACAAGAGCTAAGTATTAGAAATAATCTGGATGTCCAAACATCTTAGAATATAGTTAGAATATACTTAGAATATAGTATAGCTAAGTAGAACATATTTTAAAATACCACTAATTACAATGTTATTTTAAAACAGTACATCACAAAGCAGTTTGAATAGTATGATTCAAGTCTTAATAATTATTTTTATGTGCACAGAAAAAAGACTAAAAGGATAGGAAAGTTTACCACCAGGTAATAAAATAAGTGATTTTTTTTTTTTTTGGTGTGTGTGTGTTGGGGGGCGGGGGGACTTTCCTTTTTTTATTTTATTTTTATTTTTTATTTTTTGAGACAGGGTCTTGCTCTGTGGCCCAGCTGGAGTGCAGTGTAGTAGTGATCATGGCTCATTGTAGTCTCAATGCCACAACCTCCTGGGCTCAAGAAGTCTTCCTACCTCAGCCTCCTGAGTAGCTGGGACTACAGACACATGCCACCACACTCAGCAAATTTGTTGTTATTGTTGTTGTTGTGTTGAAATGGGGTCTTGCTATTACTCAGGCTGGTTTCAAACTACCAGGCTCAAGCGATTCTCCTACCTTGGTCTCCCAAAGTGCTGGGATTACAGGTGTAAGCCACTGTGTCCAGCCGGTGCTTTTCTGTATTTGTCAAATTGTCTATAATAAGCATTATGTTACTTTTCTAACCATAAAACCCACAAGTATGTTTTTTAAAAACTAGTTTCTAAAACTCTTTGGCGAGGCAATTTGGAAGTAGCTATCAAAATTCAAAATATGTACACTCTTTAGCAATTACATTTTAGAAATTTATTCTGAAGAAATATGCAAAATACGAAAATCTAAGCAGAGGAATGGTAACGACAGTATTATTTCGTGTCAGTAATCTGCATGTCTACCAATATCTTCCAACTTGTTATTTAAAAACATATAATCTATACATGCCTTGAAAATATTTGGTACAATGTAAACAAAATTGATATCAGTAATTATCTTTTGGGAATGACATTAGGGAAATGGTGAAGAAAGATCTTCTATACCTTTGTATTGTCTTTTCTGTAAAAACAAAGATCCAAATTACTTCTACAATTTAAAAGATTTTTTAGGCTGGATGCAGTCTTAAAATTCTCATTCTATTGTTTCAAAACATTTAAAGATACTGTTGTGAAAAGTATAAAAAGGTTTGGTTTTTTTGAGACAGAGTCTTGCTCTGTTGCTTAGGCTGGATGCAGTGGTGCAATCTCAGTTCATTGCAACATCTGCCTCCTGGGTCCAAGTGATTCTCCTCCCTCAGCCTCCTGAGGAGCTGTGATTACAGGCCTGTGCCACCACACCCAGCTAGTTTTTGTATTTTTAGTAGAGACGGGGTTTCTCCATGCTGGCCAGGCTGGTCTCAAACTCTTAACCTCAGGTGATCCACCCACCTCAGCCTCCCAAAGTGCTGGGATTATAGCCATGAGCCAATGCATCTGGCCTAAAAAAGTTTTTAAGTTTTAGGAAAATGGTATGTTCTATAAGCCAGACTAACGTCTCCAAACTCAAGTATCAATCATTCATTTCATAGTGCCTAGGACATTCCAAGACCAGTTCTAGAAGCTATATAAGCTATATTTAAAGGTGAAACAAACAGATGTGAATCCTGACCCCAAGGAGTTTATAGTTGGACAGGGGAGACTGACATTAAAAAACAGAAACACAAACATCCAGTTATAAAGTAAGCACTGTGGCTGGGCATGGTGTGGCTCACACTTGTCAGCACTTTGGGAGGCCAAGGTGGAAGGATCTCTTGAGGACATGAGTTCAAGACCAGCCTGGACAACACAGTGAGACCCAGTATCTAAAAACAACAAATGTCTGTAGTCCCAGCTACTCTAGGGGGCTGAGACAGGAGAATCGCTTATGCCCTAGAGTTCAGGGCTTCAGTGGGCTATGATTGCCACTGTACTCCAGCCTGGGTAACAGTGAAACTCTTCTCTTAAAACAATAACAAACAAACAAAAAAAGTAAGTGCTAGGAAGAGAAAGATACATAATAGTGTGTGAGCATATATGTATTTTCAGATATGAAGGTCAGGAAAAGCCACTCTATGAAAATAAATTACAATCTAGGAATCAAAGGAAGAATTAGCTTAGTAAAACATGGAGGAAAGAACATTCCAGGAAGAAAAAGTAGCATGTGTGAGATACCTGAGTGAGGTTAAAAATGGTATCAGCTGGGCACAGTGGCTCACACCCATAATCCCAGCACTTTGAGAGGCTGAGGCAGGTGGATCACTTCAAGATCAGCCTGGGCAACATGGCGAGACCTTATCTCTACAAAAAAAAGAGCCAGGCATAGTGACGTGTACCTACATAGTCCCAGCCACTCCAGAGGCTAAGGTGGAAGGATTGCTTGAGCCCAGGAGTTTGAGGCTGTGTGAGTTATGATCACATCACTGCACTCCAGCCTGGGTGACAGAGTGAGACCCTGTCTCCAAAAAAATAAATAAATAAATAAATAAAATAAAAAACAACAATTTCCTTCCAAACCTTATAATTCAAATGTCTTATCTTTTTAAATTTTTCAATTTCTTCCAGATTGTTAGTGTTTCCTTCAGGCTGGTTTGAAACACCATCAAAATCACTTTCAAAAAATTAAATTTTTTTACACAGTCATTTTAAAAGAAAGAAGTGGCTAGGGAGCGAAGGATGCCCAAAAGGATTTATTCTAAGCTTTCAAGACTATATAGATAAGAGAAGGAAAAAGAAGTCAAGTAAGGATGCTGCAATGATAGAGAAGGAGGACCCATTATAAAATGTGCTAATGCTTTAGCAAAACAGATACACCTTGTAGGCATTTAGAGATAGAGACAAGTCTAAGACATTAAAATTAAGTAAAGACAGAGATATCATCTGTGGGTACTAACTCTGTTGCTTTGTCAGAAGGAGAAAGCATCAGAGAAAACGATGACAGTGAGTTACCACTCCTTAATGTTCAGTTCATCTTAATTTTAAATTTATGATTTTGTGGGTATATACCACATAGAAACACCTAAAAATTATGGTAAGAGTGGCTAAAATAAGTTACATTATCCTAAACGTTTCTTTAAAAATTTTAGCTTAGTACTTTTATTAAAACCCAAGAGATTCATTAAGATGAGTAATTACAGTCCAGGTACAGTGGCTCAGACCTGTAATTCCAGCACCCTGGGAGGCCAAGGTGGGCAGATCACTTGAGGTCAGGAGTTTGAGACCAGCCTGGCCAACATGGCAAAACACGGTCTCTACTAAAAATAAAAATAAAAATAAATTAAAAAAAAAAATTAGCTGAGTGTGGTGGTGCACACCTGTAATCCCAGCTACTTCAGGGCTGAGGCACAGGAATCACTTGAACCCAAGAGGCCAGAGGTTGCAGTGAGCTGAGATTGTGCCACTGTACTCCAGCCTGGGTGATAGAGACTCTGCCTCAAAAAAAAAAAAAAAAAAAAAGATTAGTAATACACATCGAATCTGTCAGAATTTCAAACCCTTAATAATAATACCTAAACAAATTTCAAAAACATTGAGTAAAATCATAGTCCCTAAAAGAACAAAAGACTAATGTTAACATTAAAGTTGGAAAGAAAATTTTAAGGTAATAAATTGTATATTTTTATTTCACTTTCTGAATGACTTAAGTTCATAACCTTAAAAATAAAAAGTGTGGGTTGGGCACAGTGGTTCACACCTGTAATCCTAGCACTTTGGGAGCCTGAGGTGGGTGATCACCTAACGTCAGGGGTTCGAGACCAGCCTGGCCAACATGGCGAAACCTCGTCTCTACTAAAAATACAAAAATTAGCTGCGCATGGTGGCACATGCCCGTAATCCCAGCTACTCGGGAGACTGAGGCAGGAGAATTGATTGAATCCGGGAGCTGGAGGTTACAGTGAGCCGAGACTGCGCCACGGCACTCCAGCCTGGGTGACTGAGTGAGACTCCGTCTCAAACAATAAATAAATAAAAATAGAAAATGTGTACGAACAGAATATTTTGCATATAAAGAGTTATTAAGAATTTTAAGGCCTAATACTCTGAGGCTAGAGAACCAAACCTGCTACCTTAGTGTTAATGGGACTGATCCAGTCACTCTGCCTTTTTTTTTTTTTAATTATTTTTGAGACGAAGTCTCGCTCTGTGGCCAGGCTAGACTGCAGTGGTGCGATCTCGGCTCACCACAACCTCTGCCTCCCAGGTTCAAGCAATTCCCCTGCCTAGCCTCCTGAGTAGCTGGGACTACAGGCGTGTGCCACCATCCTGGCTAATTTTTTGTATTTTTCAGTAGAGACAGGATTTTACCATGTTAACTAGGATGGTCTCGATCTCCTGATCTCATGATCTGCCCACGTCGGCCTCCCAAAGTGCTGGGATTACAGGCGTGAGCCACTGTGCCCGGCTCACTCTGCTTTTTATAAGTAGAAATGGCAAGCTAAGGGTTAATAAGACTCTGCCTTGGTGGATTAGCCCACTGAGGTGCTGATGGGAGACCAATGACTGTTTGAATAATTGGGCCTATGCTCACATGCCTGAGGCATTCCACCTGCCAAGGAGGAAGACATACAGAAACATTGCCACATGTTTCTGATTTGGTGGGAGGAAAAACAGCTCATGAAGATTTTTTAAATATACGATTTCAGTGGTGATCTCAGGTCTCCTGCTGCCTAGATGTTTGGACACATTTTCATCGTTGAGAAGATACACTTAGGTTGTTTCAAGTAACAGTCACTCTTCAGAAGGCCAAACAGCTCAGAATTAGGGAGAAACACTTACACATCAAGTACTAAGAAGAAAGTAGCAAGTGAAATCTTAAAATATTGTGTTTTTTATTTGTTTTTGAGACAGAGTCTCACTCTGTCACCCAGGCTGGAGTACAGTGGTACAATCTTGGCTCACTGCAACCCCCATCTCCCAGGTTCAAGCGATTCCTATGCCTCGGTCTCCCAAGTAGCTGGGATTATAGGTACCCACCACCACATCCAGCTAATTTTTTTGTATTTTTAGTTTAGTCGGGGTTTCACCATGTTTGCCAGTCTGGTTTGGAACTCCTGATGTCAAGTGATCCCCTGCCTCAGCCTCCCAAAATGCTGATATTACAGAGTGAGCCATGACGCCTGGACTTAAACATGGAACTCAACTATATGAGGTTTTGTTTGCTCAAAAAAGAACCTATGAGTGGGCTTTTAAGGAACAGTAACAACAAAGTAAAGTAAAAGAAAAAATCTACATAGAAGCAAATCCAGCTCCAGGAGAATTATATCAGACTCTTCTCCAGGAATACAGTTTTCATTATGCCTCCCTGGGGCATCCGGGGGAGGGAAGCTGTTCAGCCAAGTCAGTGGGCTCTTCTTTGGGCTTCCCTTTCACTTCTCAGTCCTCTACAATGCTAAACACCAAGGTCTGGACAACCAGCAGGCATAGGGTATTGCATATTAAAACACTGAAAACAACTGCCCTGAAGGAAGCACTGTAGATGTTCAAGTTAAGGAAATCTAATTTAAAAACATAAGCAGTAATGAAACATTAATTTTTATGTATCTCTAGCTTAGCAAAACCATAACATTAACAATAGGCAAGAGCCGTGGGAGCTCTGGCTTTGAAGGTCTATGGTCAGAATGGAGTACAACTTCTATCACTGCCTTCTTGTGTGATACAATCCAATTAATCAAAATTCAACTAACAAAAACTTACCTCTTCACTTCTTTGAAGGAAGGGAAGAGAGAAGGAGGGAGAAAGGGAGGGAGAGGGAGACAGAGAGAGGAGAGAGGGGGAAAGAGAGAGAAGAAAGAAAGGGGGAGAGAGAAGAAAGGGAAAGAAGGGAGGAATAGAAGATGGAAAAGACAGGAGGTGGGTGAGGGATGGAGAGAGATAGGAATGGGGAGAGGGAGGGAGAGGAAAAGGGATCGAGGGAGAGTGAGAGAGAGAATGAACAAGAAAAAAAACTTGCATTTCCCCCCAAGACTCAACTTTCAGACAGTTGAGAGTAACATTCCAGGCAGTCAATGCCACTTTCTACAGCTATACTTTTGGTCAAAATTGATGTTCTTTTACCCCAAGCTATTGTAAGATCCTAAATAATCAAATAGTAAATTTTGGTCATCATGATTCAATGAAAAGAAAAATGAACTAAAACCCTTAAATTAAAATCTAAACATTCTAAATCTTAGCTGTAACAGTTAACTGAAGGTTTAGGTGTTACAAAGAACTAGGTATAGCAGATATCCAACAAAGACAGAACTGGTTTTAGAATCCCATTGCAAAATGACTACTAGAAACATCACTGATGACAGCAGGCATCTCTACTTTTCATTCATTGCCATACCTTCAATTCTTAGAGCATTGCCAGCACATAGTAGGAGGAGTATTTCACCAACATTTGTTAATGAATAAATAAGAAAACTATAGAAAAATGAGGGAACATGTTGAAATGTCGCAGGTGGACTTTTGAGAATCTAGAACCATTGTGACCTTTACTCCAGAAAAACATTATATGAGTTGAAGTAAGAGAAGCCAGCTACCAAAGAAAAGTGACACATATAAAAGCAGATAGCTGTCACAAAAATAGTTTTCCAAGTCAAAGTTTAGAAAACATTTGCAATTCATATTATGAACTCTTCATTTAAGCTCAATTATTTGTTACATAATTATTATCATTATATTATTGCTAAGCAAATTCAGGCTGAAACCTCAGATATTAAAAAATTCAGCAGCATGTAGCTTAAGTTACCTATAAAGGATGATTTTTATAAAAACTCACCTAAAGTTTTAACAGTATGTATTAATACTAACTCTGACTTTAATAAAAAGATTTCTATGATTTCAGGCTATTTTGTAGCAAACATATTAGCAATGAGTTAAATCTAAGCTCTGCTGGCAAAAGTTGGTCTAAAATAATAAAAATCCAATATAATTAACTATCTTCTCTTTTTGTTTCCTCTTCATTTTCAAAAACCAACAGTCTATTATAAGCAAATAAAAATAACCAAGGCCATTAGGGCAAAGAAACATAAGCAGCAAGATTTGTTTCACGTTTTAAAACTATTTCTTAACAAATCATGTCCATTCATATATTCAACAAATACTCACTCAGCACCTATCGTAATATTCCAAGCACTTTGCTAGTGATTAGAAAAAAGAAGTTACCAGAAAGATTCATATTTACATTTAAGCAGCTAAAAACCAAAAAGATCTCTTGAACTTCCAGTAAATGTGAAATATAACAAAATTTTTCAAAACGACTTTTCAACTTACATTTTGTTCCTCTGGTTCTAATTTGGGGATTTTGTGTGACTTGCGCTCTTCAGATCTAGATGAGTCATGCTTGTTGCTTTTTTTCCTCTTTTCTTTTCTGCTTTCATGCTTTGACTTCGTGTGCTCACTTGCCTGTACTTCATTTAAAAGGTCTCCACAAAGGGAAGACTCAAACAATTCCCTGCCATTCTGGATAGTTTTGGTTATTTTTAGTTTAATTTCAGGTGAGCCAGTCTTCTTTGGAATCACAGTTTGTGGTACCGAAGGAGGAGGTGGTGGCTGTGGAGGGGAAGGTTTTTCCAGAATTTCATGTGGTCTTGTGTTTGGAATTTCTGAATGGTAATAGTCAGTGGGGCTAAAGTTTCTAACTGCACCAAAGCCATTGGCTGATCCATTAGGATACTGATTATACGACTGGTATTTGGTTTGAGGTTCATACATGCTGATTGATGATGGATAGCCATTTGTGAGTGGAGGAAGATCTTCTGTTGTAGCTGGGTACTGAAAGCCTTGCTGCAAGGTAGCTTCATATGGTGTCTGGCCACCATCTTCAGCAATGTCACTGTTGTTATCAAAGGCATCCTCCTGACGGATGTTGGCGGAGTCAATGAGTTGAGGTGGTTGCTGAATTGTGTTTCCCATGATCCCTTGCATGAAAGAGAAAGAGAAATCCATTGTTCTGCTCCAGCATCCTTAACTTTCCCTTTCTCTCATCGGGCCTAAAATTATAAAAGAGGGGATTACAAGGTGTTAATATTATCATAGGCTAGAAGCTAATCAACTGAAAAAGGATTAAACTAAAATGTTTTGAACTCAATTTTCATATCCAGATATGCCTAGACATTAAATATTTCTAAAACAGATAACCAATGTAATTCTGACACAGGGCAAATACCTTTTATCTTCAATGCTTATCTGTTTGAAACTCCCGATTACTTTTCACAACAAGTGTGGCAACAGATTTTATCGTGACTGCCAATACACAAAATAGTTTTGACATTCCTTTTTGTTTCCCAAGTTTAGATGGTAAGTCTCAGGTTAAAACTTGTGTTTGCAAAACAAGCAGTATCCTGACACGTATCAATCTATTTCCATAAGAGCTTCCTTTAAAATCATTCGTATTTTGTCCAGAGGTTGTTTTTATTACAAATATAAAAAAAAAAACTTATTGCAAATTTTTTTTTTTTTTTTTTGGAGACAGAATCTCACTCTGTCACCTAGGCTTGAATGCAGTGGTGCAATCATGGCTCACTACAGGGGTGGGCTCCTGGGCATAAGTTTTTTAAGACTATATCCCTGTTAATTCTGATTAACTGATTGTAGCTGCCTGGAATACTATGAAGAAAGATCCTAAGGTTACATTCCAGTTTGATTCTGTTAATAACAAAATCATTAACAATGCCTATTATTAATAGATTAATAACAGACTGATTAACAGTATCTACCATCCTGGTTCTAGTAGGATTTGGTGTTATAATAAAACAAATAGCCCAAAACGGCAAATGGAAGAGGGAAACAAAGTTGGCAACACACTTTTCAAGTTATATCCAATTATATAGCCACTGTTTGTTCTGCTGTTAGCAAATGGAAATCGTTTTGGAAGTTCTAAAATTACAAACAAATAAGTAAGACTGCACACAAGAAATTGAACCGTGTGTACTGCTTTACATTGGCGGGGGGTGGGAGGGATCTGGATGGAGCACTCTCATTTTCTTAGTGTCTCCTCTGGGTCAGGCACTTTACACATCAGCTCATTTAAGCATCTCAACAACTCTGCAAGATAGGGATTGTGATTTCTGGTTCATAGGTAAAAGAAAGTGAGCTTCAGAGAGGTTAGATAGCCTGCTTAAACCACAAAGCAAAGGGGGAGAACTTGAATTTGGATCTAGGTATGTCTGACTCTCAAGTCCATGTTTTGTGTGTGTGTGTGTGTGTGTGTGTGTGTGTGTGTGTGTGTGTGTGTGTTTCTTTGAGATAGGGTATCATTCTGTTGTCCCAGCTGGAGTGCAGATAACATGCAACCACAGCTCACTGTAGCCTTGACTTCCTGGGCTCACATGATTCTCCCTACTCAGGCTCCCAAGTAGCTGGGACTACAGGCACATACCACACCTGGCTAATTTTTTTTGTATTTTTTGGAGTTTCAGTATGTTGCCCAGGCTGATCTCAAGCTCCTGATGTCCATGATTTTTACTACTGTATCACTTCTGTTTCCTTCAGCTATCCGTTCTGGAAAAATAATTCTTTTGTACGGGTACTTTATTTCTTGGTCACTACCAAAATTACAAATACTCGAATAACTACCAGTATCACTTACATAGCACTTTGTATGTGCCAGGCACCATTCCAAGTGCTTTACATAAGTACTACGTTTAATCCTCCCAACAACCTTCATGTAGATATTATCTCTTACCATAGATAGGGAAATAGAGGCACAGAGAAGTTAAATGACTTGCTCAAGTGCACATGGCTAGTAATTAATTGACAGAGCTAAGAGTCAACCCAAGCTGTCTCCTTCCAGGGTCTGTGCTTCGGATTAGCATATCCTACTTACTGACAATGTTTAAGAACTAAAACATTACCTTAATTTAACCTTTGGCAAAAATGTATAGCTCACAGCAACAGACGTAAGAAGGAAATGTTTAAAAATTCTGTTAACAACTACACGGGCAGGAATCAAAAGTTCTCATTTATACTTCCAACTTGAAGGCAAGTCAAATAATGACATCTAACAAAATGCAACCTGTGTTTTTGGTTCTTGTAACTGTCATATACAAGATCAACTTCCAGATTAGTCTCCCAAATTATAGTCTTCAGGGTTTTTCAAGCATATGTATTCAGAGACAGATTTCTGATGCTTTTAATTGAGTTTCAAACAAAAGAAGCTTTAGATTTTCCCCTTTTCCTGTCTTCTTTACCCCAACTCCAAATATTTTATTTTAGTCTCAACTAAGAAAATAACATTACCTTCTTACAATTACATAGGAGTCCACAGAGTGAACTCATACGCATTCGTATTGCAGAGTGTTTTCATTTACATTTGTATTTGATCCTCAAAACAACTCTGTAAGGATGACAGGGCAAGGTGTGTATTAGCTTCATTTTTTTAGGTAACTACATGGAACATCTGAGATACTGACTTTCCCAAGCTCACAAAGCTAATTAGTGATTAAACTTGAAAAATAATCAGTCTCCTGATTTCTAATCCTGTATTCTTTTTCACAATATTCCACTGCCAGAGAATAACCAACTACTTAAGGACAACTACACTAAACTCTTAAAAGTCATTAGTTCAAAACTAATTGCACTGTCCTTTTCCTAGTTCAATGTCCCCTTCAGACTACCCCAATCTGTCATTGCTTCCACCACTTTTCTAGCTTCTCAGACTAGAAATCTCAGGCTCATAGGTGATTGATTGTCCCCTCTTTGTTAAGCCATAAAACTAGTCATTTAACAAATCCTGCATTTTTTTCCTTTGAAGTATTCTTCCCAGTGCTTCAATTGAATCTAAAGTGAGGGGAATAATCAGACAAATCCAAAATGGGGGATATTCTCCCAGACAACTGGCCTGGGCTCTTCAAAAAAGCTAAAGTCTAAAACAAACAAAAGGTGCAAAGACTATTCTAGATTTAAAAAGATTTACCAACTCAATACAATGCATGCACTTTGATTAAATCCTGAATTTAAATACATACAAACACACAGATTAAACATATATTGTGGAGACAACTATAGAATTTTAAATATGAACTGTCTTTAAACAATGGAGCTATTCATTTCACCGGCCTGATAATGCTATTCTGTTTATATAAGAGAATGTTCTCATTCTTAGGAGAGCTATGCTGAAATACATAAAGTGTCATGGTATCTACAACTTTCAAATGGTTCAGGATTTTTAAAAAGGTACATATACCTAGAGTAAAGCAAATGAGACAAAATGTTAACAATTGACGAATCTAGATGTTGAATGAAATATTCTTCAACTTTTCTAAAGGTTTGAAAATTTTAGCCGGGCACGGTGGCTCAAGCCTGTAATCCCAGCACTTCGGGAGGCCGAGGCGGGTGGATCACAAGGTCGAGAGATCGAGACCATCCTGGTCAACATGGTGAAACCCCGTCTCTACTAAAGATACAAAAAATTAGCTGGGCATGGTGGCACGTGCCTGTAATCCCAGCTACTCAGGAGGCTGAGGCAGGAGAATTGCTTGAACCCAGGTTGCGGTGAGCCGAGATCGTGCCATTGCACTCCAGCCTGGGTAACAAGGGCGAAACTCCGTCTCAAAAAAAAAAAAAATTTTTTAAATGGAAAAGTTGCGGGGGATGGAAGGGAACAACAAATAATTTGGCTAGTGTTTGGAAGAAGTACTAAAAATAAGCTACAGGTCCCTAAGGTGGTATGAACCTCCATTAAATTCTGGTGCCATGTTCTGAGCAAACAAGCTAAATAGGGCCACATTGTTACATTTTCTAGAAATCCTAAGCATGAAGAGGACCATACTTCTTCATACTCTGCCTCCAAATAATACAATAATGCAATCAAGAAAGCAGTTTTGGTAGTTTATAAAAACAGATATTTTGGGACCACAACTAAATTTCTTTACATAGTTGATTTTTATGTATAATGGAGTCTGGTGGCCAGCCTTCAAAAAGCAGACACACCAACTGATACAATGGTTAAGACCTCACTAAATTAGGAGGCTCTACTCAGCACCATGTTTGAGAGTACAAGTTCAGAATCAAACTAAGTTCAAAAACATACCAAGTTCTGCTGGCTGTGTGACTTTAGGTGACTTTTTCATTATCCCTAATCCTCAGTTTCCTTAGCCAGAAATTGTAAATACCTGTAATTGTGTACCTTGTACAGGGTTGCTGTAACAATTAAGAGTTAATCCATGAACAGCACTTAAGACAGTGCCTGGCATACAGTCAGAGCCTGGCCACTTGTTGGCTCTTTATTATTATCATTCATTGCAATGCTGGGTACACAGACCTGGTAAAAAATAAAATAAAATAAAATAAAAATAAATAAATAAATCACTGACCTAAAAGCACTTTCAATCTCTTCAGTAAGACATGTACGATTTTCTAAGACACATAAAATAGTAGCAAACAATGTGAAACAGAAGGTGACTAAGAATTGAAATTGTGTTACTACTACAATTATAACAGACATTTGAGGAGAAGAACAATGCTGGTTAAGGAGGCATTCAGGGCATGAGAAACAAGCAGGATGTGGAAGTAAGATGTTCTTCACACACTGTGCTTTTAAAACTGCTTGGTACAGGCCAGCAAGAATATTTACACCTTTGTCCTTAATAAATCCCTGATAAAGACAGTATGTTCAATTTATTTTTAAGACAATAATATTAATGGCTAACATTTGAGAGCTTAGTGTCAGTACTATCCTAAACATTTTATATTTGTTATACTATTTTACTTTGTGGAACACGCCTTTGAGGAAATACTATTACTATCCCATTTTACAAATGAAAAATCAAGGCCAGTATGATTAATAACTTGTCCATAGTCCAGATCAAGTAAATGGAGGATTCAAACACACACTGTTCTACAGCACTGGCTTTTAACAAGTAAGCTTACTTCCCACAATCCCTAAATATGTAAAGTAAACAACAACAACAACAACAGAACCTCACTGACATTTTGTCACTCCCACTCCCCAAAGTTAACTAACAATCTGGTGGAAGACTAAATAATTGTA